ACCATACCAAATCATGCTGAGTTATGGGAAGAAGGAAAAATATCTTACGCTCTATCCATGCGCTTAGACTTCCTTGGAGGGAGGGGGTCGGTATAAAAACCTAGAACAATAGCGAAGACTGACCATGAAAACCATGGATCGCAGTTTTTTTCGTTCTGAGGACTAAGCTGCAATAGCAACGTAACCATCTGAAAGAGTCAAAGTCATGGATTTTTCTCAAATTTGGGTCGTGGGGATTATGCGAAATGTTGGTTACCATATCACATTTTCTTCGCGCATAAACGCCTTTCTATAGTCCAAGGTGGGTGTTTAGTGAATCAAATTTCACGTTTGCTCAAAATTTTACGAAGGAGTCTCCTTAGTACATCACATTATGGTCTTGATTGTGCCTGAAAAAGTCTCTTTGTGCACTCTAAGTGGGGAGTGTACTACAGCTTTGACTAGGTTTACGATTGAGATCCGATTTGGTAGACCGTATACATTGTAACATCATAAAATTGCCCTACATTGCCAAACTACACTTGTAGTCAGCGTGCTGGAACTCGTACGAACCAAAAATAGCCAAATCTGTGATTTTGACGCTGGTATGGCATACCTTCCCACTAAAACCACACAGAGCAAGTTTTTCTTTCTTAGTCAGTTCTTGAATTCCTATGCTTTGCAACAAGCGAAATTTTCTTGAAAACGCGATTTAGCCAACTCAAATACCTTGGAAGATTTTGTTGCGCGAGTTCGCAGTGCCGCGCCGATTTGCAGTGGTTTACCGTTTTTCATTCTTTGGTCCGAGCAATATAAGATAGCGCAAGTAAGCGGGACAGTACACTTGTGCCCAAGCGATGGCATTCTTATAACGGAAGGAGACCGAATGTAGGGAGCAGGAGACAGTTGCAAACTCAGTGATGCACCATGTGCAGCATCGGTTCGAGACGTGATGATGCGAGCTACGTTTTGTCGTGATCGGTATCAATATATCAGTTTTTCGCACACAGAAAAAGCAGAGATGCAGTGGAAAAATATGCCGCCTAGAGACACATCTCCCATCCGACTATTGCCATTACTGATTTATTAGTAAACATATAATGAAGCTTTTCCATTATAATATCAACAGAAGAGATACGATTAATCTAGAAATAAAACTTGCTCATTGCAACATTTTAGATATGCGGGATATGAACACTTTTTCTGTTCAAAAAAATAGATTTTGGAAAGAATTCATCAGACTTTCAGTGTCAGTGCCATTATTATGCAAGATTAAGTAAGGCATTTAGATAGTAGAACCAGTGCGAGCCCTTGCGAAGTAGAGGTGGCGCAACGGCTACAGGGGTTTTCAATCTGAGTGTCACGGTCGACGTGGTTCACTTTCTCGACAGCCGCGTCGCTTGGGTCTCTCGCGTGGTACACTACCGCACCCGATAACGCGAAGGCCTCAGCAGATGCGGCATTGCCCCACGTGAGAGACCCATGCGAGGCGGTCTGCAAGGACCTGAGCCACGTCGACCGTGACACTCAGACTGAAAGCCCCTTTACCTATATTCACGCAACCAAATTCAATTAGGAAAGAATCCAAATGATAACGTAAGGAATCTCGCTGCCGCCTGCTACGCTGCTCGCAATCAGATGGAAAGCATACATAGTGCTTCGAATACGTTCTTCAAAAACAGCAGGCAATATCATATGTCAATGTTCATTTAAGCTTGTTGAATCAGATTGTGGATGGATATTGATCAAAGAATGAACTTACTTGGTTAATAAATGAAACAGAACTCTTACAAATAGTAAAACCTGTTAAACTTGTAGATAGCCTGTCAATTTTTTGACACGTGGTAGGAGGTTAACACTTGTTTCTGTGAAGTTGGGAGTGAATATGCAAAAAAAAGAAGCAACATCCTTTCCTAAAGAAATGAGTACCTTTGACTCTTAGTGACACGATACTAGCTGTCTTTTGGCTGTTCTGTCCCCTTAATGTAGGCTGTCCTTACACTTTAGTCGTTTGCTTGAATTATTACCTTTGCGAGAATACGAGATCTAGAGTTTATGCATGATCTGCGGTCAATCTATAAAATATTGGGGTAACATGGTTTTTTTGCGGAGTTTGCATATCATATTTTGAAAGACAATTTCAGAAGGAAAGACTGCTCTAATCCTTTAAATCGTCGCAAATTATAGTATTCACAGTAATTTTTCCGCAATGTGCTAGATTACGGTGAGAGGCAGACCAAATCTCCACCTACAGATAAATAGAAGACAGAAAGAAGTACAGCTCTACGGACGATAAGCTATACAACTCTCGAAGATTGTAGATCGTGGACAAGCGTAATGGGCTATAACTTAATATGAAGTAAGAAAGTCGAGGAAGTTCAAAAGCAATCATTTCGTCGAGACGTTCCTCACGTCTACGCGGAAACCTTGAGAATGGAAGTTGACAACACCATCCCATTTTGTGTGACAATTTACAGGGATGGTGTAACAATTTATTGAGGTTTCTTTCTGTCTTTCTGTCTTTCTTTCTGTTCTGACCGATGGGGAATGCGGTCTCACGAACGTCACTCAGTTTATTTAGTTGGGGAAAAATATCTTTCTGACGTTATTATTCGCGGTTTTGAATACATCTTTTGTAGTTTTGTTGCTAAATCAAGGAACTTAAGAACCGCACTTGCAACTAATTCGTGTGAACGTCGATGGCACTAGTATCATCTTGATCCTCACTTCCTACAGATACATTTAAGAGAATACATCTACGACTCTTCAAAATACATGCGATCACGGTTGAGCATATCAACCTGCATGTCTCAATAATACTGAGCATCTCCTAGTCTTCTCGAAAATCGAGAAATATGCAAATACCATTGAAAGGAAAGAACTTTTTGTAAAGGTTTTATCGTAACAACAACACTTTTTACGTAAACATCCAGTAATTTTATTGACTTACAACTCCCATAACATACAGGGCGTCCCAAAAAACTGCCCGACTGTGTTTGCAAAGCAGTTTAGGTGAGGTTCAGATTCTTAAATTTCTAAATGCCTGTTTCTGGGGTTCTTGGTGACTTTCCAACTAAGCAATGTGCAATGCTTATATTTATTAGGTTGTAACATAAGTTTTGAGACACTTCTTTCATTTTCTTGTGAAAAACTCTAGAAGCCTTGACAAAGTCTAATATTTGGCACATATGAGCAGCGGACAAAGGAGTATCTCTTGGCATTATTTCTAACTTTACAGGTATAGGTTACAGTAAATATAAAGGCGATTTTGTGACGGCATTCAATCTCCAATTTCTTCTTTTGCCTTCAAAAATTCTCCCAATCTTATTTTTTTATGCTCTCAGGTCTTTATTGGATTTCTAGGGATATTAGTAACAATATGAGAAAAGTTTGGAAGTCTAGGCTGTTCAATAACGGAAGTTGGAAATTTGCCAAAAGAATTCAGTAATTTTAAAGCATTCGAAAATTGGATATTCCACGTGTGGTATGTACATATTGAAAGTTACAACCCTCCACTCAATCTGGAGATGAGAAATTTTTTTTGGAGAAAGTTATGAAGGTTTTTCCCTTCAAGTGTCACAAGACTTATGTTACAACCTAATTAATAGAATGAGCTACCTCATTTTACTTCATTACCTTTCTAGATGTGAGTCTCCAAAAAAATACTATTTTCAATGGCAAAATCCTTCCAAAATTCCTACTTTTAGCAGTGAAAACATTGGAGAAGCCTTTCATAAATGCTTAAGGTAAAGCTGGCTCTACGAAATATCACCCAAACATTGGCAAACGCAATATAGACGCGAGAGTTATCAGTAGGGGCATTTTTTGCTACACCCTATATCATCGTAACTTTCTCCAACGCTTTCCACATGGCGAATAAAAAGCTACTTTAGTTTATCTTACCAGAGATAAAAAATATTATCATAGATTATGAACCATTACCAAGAACCTATATTACTGAGGGTTTCATAATCTGTCAGAGCAATAGATTTGCCCGCAAGACATATATGACCAGACGACTTGACTAACTTCTGTGAACAAGTTCAAAGAGGAAACAAGTTATGTTCACTACAATAAAAACAAGCTATTCTGAATTTTTTGGATTGGAAGAAGCAACGCAAGGTTTGTTTTTCGTTTGATAAACATTACAAAAGATGCAGAAAACTTTGTGACTTGAACTCTCAACAACTCTTGACCCAGATATCGTTGACTTTGGTCCAACGATATAATTCCTGATTTTTTCGCCGTAGAGAGAAGTTTGAGAAATAGCCATAATTCGAATTTCCACTTCAAGGAAAGCATTTCACACTGCAGCCTCTGCTTCAGTTCTTGTGATAGTGGACTGACAACCATATGACAATGGCCATTTGTTATAGTTGTAATACCTAGTTGACGAGCGGCCGTTATATATCACTGTTTACACAGCTGATGGAGAAGTGATCAAGCTGCTTTCATTACGAACAAATGTCTCAATATACCTGCCCAGGGATTGCCGATGCATTCTTGATCAAGAATTATGGATCATAACCTGAGGAAGATTTCGAGTTGCTCTCTCGACGAATTTTTCGACAACTTTCCGGCATAAAAAATGAACTCTCAAGTAAGAGGCCCGTCATCGAAGGCAGCTGAGCGTTTAGTGTAACACAACACGATAGAACTCAAAGCCTGCATGCATCGATCCTCGCAAATTTCTCTCCTAATCGTCACCATACGCTCCAGCAACTGATTCCACTACTTCTAATTTTCTTCCTCAATAAAATTCTGAAAATTCTGTCCCCCGCGTGCTGAGGAGTTTTATTCTGTACACTGCGACAAGTGAGCAAAAATGGCGAACATATTTGATATGACCCGGATGGTCACTATGAATAATGCTGACCAAGATTTAAAACTTGACAAGATTCAAGGAGAGGAGGAAGCGACCGAGAGTACTCCTAGTACTGTAAGCCAACTTTGGCTTTGATCGTTAGAACTTTTACTTCCTATAGGGTGTCGAGAATTTTTGAATGAATCGTATTTTTCAGACCATCGAGAAGCTACCGGACAAGGTGCTACAGCAAATATTCTCTTATCTGTCTCCATATCAGGTGAGCAAAAAACATTCAAGAATTGCTGTTTCAGCATATTTGTGATCTTCGAAATCTTCATGTAGTCAGGCCATTTAGGAATTTTCTTATACTAAGCAAAAAGAAATCTCGTCGGATAAATTATATCTCGTGAAGTAGTTATTTGACGTTGTAAAATTGTCAATTTTTCGGTTGTACAACATATTGTAGACGTAAAACATTTTCGTGTTCTGTTGACAAAAAACAATTGAGTTCCATTTCCGCTAGCTGTATGGATGGCGTATACTTGAGGAAATGAAAAAAAGGCACCTTTCTATTTTTTGGAAAATCATGACTTGAAAAACAACAGACAAATCTTGATCATTGAATCTTGATCATCATTCCTAAATATGATTTTCTCATGTTAGAAAAATATTTTACCTAGTTACACCAATTATACAAATTAGTTGTGATGAACCCTGGAATCATCAACAAGTCCACGAAAAGGAAAACAAAATGTCACACCTTCACAGGAACATTTCTTTTGCAGATACTTCGAACCGGACAAGTATGCAAAAGATGGAGAGCAGTAGCATGTAGCCCGATGCTATGGAAATTTGTCTCCTTCAGACCTAATTACGGGGGAATTCAGGTACCTGAAGATTTAGTAGTAAATGCTGCTTGTTTAACTGCTTTTTGGCTCCAGGTGACGAATCACGACTACTTTCTGCATCTCATCGGAACTCAGTTCTCCGAACTTCGTATCGTCGAGCTGACTACCGATTTGATCACTCCGAACGTACTCTATGAAATGGCCAATAAATGTCCCCGTCTGCAGCATCTGACTCTCGGTAAACTTAGCAGATCACCTGATCACTTGAGATGTCCAGAAAATTCTTAACATTGCAGTATAAAGTGCCAGAATCTCTCTTTATTCTACGTTATTTATGTTGCGTAATTTTTTTCAATAATGAAAATTTCAGACTTCTCTACTGCAATGCAGCTTCATGACTTCACCGATCTGCAGTCATTCCCATCACGTCTGCGCAGTTTGACGTTATGTCTATCTGAAAATATCTTCTTAGAGGGCTTTTTGAGGTAAGTCCTCAGCAAAGCTTTCACACCAGATGTTCTCCCATGATTCATAATTTTAGAAAAGTATACACGTTCATCTCTTCTGTTGAACTGCTTCATATAATTGGTGAGTACGGACAATCTGCTCAGATTTTTTTCCTGGTTAGATATCTTTATGTTCAACAATTTAGCTTACTTCGCAGACAGGCTTACTAAGATAAGTGTAAGATGTTGTATGGTGTTAGTGGTGATTGTGCTGTGATCATTTATTTTCACTTGCAAACTATGACCTTTTTTTCAAATTATGACTTTTTATATTAATTTATCCCTATCGAGAGTGATCGAAATAATTCAACGTTTTGACAGTCATGGCATATGAAGCTCAAAAAGAGGACTTATTGACTCTCAAGCAAAACTCGCAAACTGCCAGTGCAAGATGTTTCTAACATAAGAAAGCTGCAAAATCTTACATCGTTCACGAACTGCACAGCTGTCGCATCAGCTTCATCTCTTTGAAATGATGGGAACGGCAGTGCTTGGCACAGAGCTCTAAAAAAACATCGAGTTATCCTCTTTGTAGGTACATACGAAAAAGTGGAAGACGAAGAAGAGGAGGTTTATGAGACAGTCAATATATTCAAGCTCAAGCAGTTTCTGCCAAATCTTCGCGTCGTGAATTTTTGGGGTGTAAGCTTTTGCTTAGTCCTCTATGAATTCGAGAAAAGTTTTTAACATTACTTTCAGGTACCGTTTATCACAGATGAGCATGTGGATGCGATATCATCTAACTGTGCTCATTTAGAATGTCTATGCGTCAACTACTGCACAAAGGTAAGCAGTACCTATCAAAGGTTTCAAAAAATCAACAATTTTATATTACAAAGATAGAGCCAAATTTTTGCTACAAAGTAATCATTTGGTTTCTCGCATTACTACACCTAATTTTGTTCCTTTTTTACCTTACATAAATAAACATTGTGTCATGCAACGAAGTCTACAAATGCAATGAATTAGTAAAGCACCGTTTCCACATCTACTTGACTTTATGCACCCGCTCCAACTTATATACCTCCTGCTCAAGCGTTTGTTGCTTAGTTTGATACTAGCCAGCATTAGTGTACGAACTTCACTCAACTGGGTACACCCTAAAACTGAGAACTAACGTGAAAAGCAGTGCAAATATACAATACCTTGAAGAATTTCACAAAGTGTTGACTTTCATTTTGCGATTTGTGGTAGATTGGCTTTAACCGACGTAAGCTTTTCAGGTGAATGGTTCCTGCTTAAGACTGGTATTGCAGAGATGCCGCAAGCTCAAAAGCCTTTTCCTGGCTTACACAAGTAAGCTCTGAATAATTCCTAATTTTCAACATTAGCTATGATTTAGCGTTTTCTGATGTTTTTTGAAAGAATATTTGTGCGAAAAAAATTATGTGAAATGCTAGTTGTTATTATGAAAAGGCTAGATCAACGGAATTCACCGGGTAGTATTTTTGCTAACACTTGAAAAGGCATATGAAATATTGAAAGTAAAGCAGGATCTATTTGCTTATATTCTAAAGGACTAAAGCTTTCGAAATATTTTGCACGTAAATGCCGTTGATTAAATACTGCCAAAATAATTCTTTTTTGCTTAGCTAATAGAGTAAAATTTGTGGTTTGTAGGCTTGGACAATGCGACAATGAAAGCTGTCGAATGGGAAAAGACAAGAATCGAAGAATTGGACGTAAAGGGCACCGAACTCTCAACGGATACCCTGATCTCACTACTTACCCGACTTCCTTACCTGCGATGGTTGGATGCAAGTTGGTTGGAAAACATGACGGATCAGGTGCGCAACTTGAGGTCGTTTATCGTTAATGTGAATATGTAGAATCTGTGCAGGTACTGGAAGCTTGGCTACAGTCCGGTGCCCTGGCAAACCTCCAATTTATCAATTTGGACACTTGCGACTCATTGAACGAAGCAGCACTGACTGAAATGATTGTCCGCCATGGTTCACAATTACAAGGACTGTGTCTCGGAGGGCAACATAAATTGCTCGAGTATTTCTGGATGAACGTAATTCCACAGCTCAAGAACATTAAGTAGGCTGTACTCGTCCGCCATATGCACAAATTCATAGACTTCGTGTTCAGAGTAATCGTTATGGGAATCGCAGAGGACTGTTGTGCCAAAGTAGCAGCGAAAATCCATGTTGATCAATTCATTGATTGCATAGCGCAAAATTGTCCATTGTTGACACGGCTAGAAATTCGTTGGGATGACGACACACTCAGGTTTTCCGACAAATCTAGGTAAGCCGGGATTTTAGCAACATTTGGTATACCATTAGGTATTGAATTGTTTTCGAGAAATTTATCAGTGCGACATAATTCTTTATAATCCAAAAATGAAATTTTTTTTGAGTTCTGCTCAAGACTGCTTAGATGCTTGAGCCAAATGCTTTTCAGTACAGATTTTTGCATGCAGACCATGGCTTGAATATTATTCAAAGAGTACTTCATAAAGTGGGAGGAACTAGCTAGAACGAACAGTTGAAACTCTAAAACAACCTCTCTGCTTTTTGAAACTTTTTTGAAACAATGGGTTTTACCGCTATCGTGCTTTGTTGGTTTTTGCGAAAAGTAATTTAGAAAATTTTGTGGATTTAGTTAAGATCTGTCGGAGCCTCACATAAATTTACAAGAGCAATACCGGCTACAAAGGTTGTGTTTAGAACTTTGGAAAAACATTTATTGAGTTCACGAGTTCCAGAAAACATGGAACATACTTTAATAAAGTGTTTATTTCAGCAAATTCATTGACGTGCTTCGCATGAAGTGCTTGATGCTCCATTCCATAGTGCTCAGCGATGGTCAATATTACGAACTTGTCCGATCGAATTTCGAGCGGGCCGATAGAATGAGTGTTGTAAGGTGAGGTTGATAGCCCCTCCTCTCTGTTTTAAACATCAACTGTTGATTTTTAGGACAACCGAGATGTGCCGTACTGGTCTCCTACATTGCTCTCGATTTTATAACCAATTGCTATTCAACTAGAAGTTAATGTTCGTAATGTATACTAGTCAGAGTAGCATCTCATTTCTTTTACGGCGAAGCAGTCAAAGTCCAAAGTCCGGTTTTTTCTTAGTTTGGTTCGATTCTTCTGATTGATGCTCATAATTCTTCGAACTCGGGTCCTCATCTATGATTTTCGCTATTTTCGTGTATTTTGAACTGTCTGTATGCAAGTAATGAAATTTCGATGCGATAGCTTGTGAATGTCAACCTATGACTGCAGTGAAGTATTCGTGTAAAGAAGAACGTGAGGTAGCGCGAGCCTCGGGCAACGCTAATGGAGCAGCTTTTTGAACCGCTAAAGCTGATGGCTTAGTCGCAGCTGACCACTTCTTGATGTGAGGGACAAAGTGACTTCCTGGTTCTTTCCCAAATGTTAGCTCAGAAAGCAACTAGAGCAAATGCTACAAATTTAATACAAAATAAGTGTTACAAAAATCGATGTATAACAGTGTTTTGCATGTAGATCCGACCTGCCACTTATCAAATCCATACTATAGAAAAAGATGCTGGTTCTCATAGAATGGACTAACAGCTCCAACCTTCTTTTCTTACGAAACATGATTCTCTGGTGGCACAAAAGTAGCCAGAAATATGTTCACTTTCTATAGAAGTATCTAGCTTATTTTTTAAAGTATTTAGAAAAAGAGCCATGTCAGAAGTGATAGGGCCCGTCCCTGCCCCTGCGAAACATGCGCTCATAACCGTTCCAACAATATTCTTAGCTTGATCAACTCTGCATAAACTGATACAACCTAAATCGGTAGTAACATGAAAGATGTACATGAATTTGTTGCTTAAACTCGTGGTTCATAATTATACAGAGTGTCCCAAAAAATGTATCGAACGTTTAGTCACTAGTTAATTCCTTGTGTGTGAAAATTTCGCCTTTCATTGACACCATTTGTAGAGATGGTTTCAACTTAGGTTCAAAATATGGAGCAAATCTTTTGACAAAGCAAACCAAAGCTTTTCACAACTCTAGAATTACGGTAGAGAATTTCGGTCACAGCATCATTCTGGATCGCCCGTTTCCAAAAAAATTAAAAAACTAAAATTTTCGTATAGGCGTTTTTATGCTCGGTGATTGCGTTACTTGACTTTTACGAGCTTGTAAGCCTTTCAAATATTATAACTACAATTTTATTGAGCAATGTAAAACCAGCTATTGCTTAGTTGGTATATAACAAAAGTTATGAATGGAGCATTGCGGTAAAGTTCAAAGTTCATATTTAGTGTCAGCGCTCTAAATTGCTTAATCTAAAGTTTTCAGCTTGTTTGGTTTGCTTTCTGAGGCGAGGGACCTCAATGGCTCGAGCATCTCTTCAAAATGCGTGCCGCAATTTCAAGTAAATGAAAAAGGTCACTGACTTCCTCTATACTGTAAGCCTAAGTTGAAGCCAGCTCTACATTATGGTGATTAAGAGATCACTAAAGTTTGCAAAAGTTACTACAGATCAAACATTCGATTTTTGTAACGCGCTTTCTTCCTTCCTTCAGTTACTGACAAATGTACACAACACCTTGTAGGCTAATGCAACAAGCCTGATATGGTAAGTGAAATGTACCGGATTTCAACAAACTTATCAATCTAATGCTGCCATTTCCTCACAGCGCTAGAAGTAGCGGCATTCAAAAGCACAATGATTAATATTGTGCAATTTTGCAAATTAGTTCAAGCTCCCAAAAAATATCTAGCCTTGAACGTAAAGCGTAAGCGTAAGGTAATCTTAAAACCTTACGTGGAAAATTTTTGTCGATTTTTTTAAAACGTCTCACGTCCGCCATTTATATTCCCTGGCCATCCCAAAAAATTTTTCTTGGAAGGTGTGAACAAAAACTAAGGACAATTTCATTTTCTGTACCCCTTCTTTAGCTTCTGGCACGAATACAAGAGTTGCGATATAATTTTTTGAGGCAAAAATGTTTGATCCTCCTTAAGGTCAATGCACCGCTGTTACAGTATAAATATCACTCAAGTACTGATAAAATCCTTAGCGGATTCGTGGTAAGATTTCAAATGAAATTATAATGTCTTTACTCTCAGAATGATTACTGTGAATTAGTGACGTTGAGATTTCCATCTGGTCAATTAGCAACAAGTCAAACAATCCTCAATTTCTTTTCGTAATAATTTTCAGTGAAGTTGTCAGCGAAGTTAGACAAGAGAAATGAAGAACAAATGGACCGTGACTGTCCAAATTTTCAATAATATAATGGATTTTGTTAAATTGGAAATGCAGTTTGCAGCTGCATCAATCCAACATTGGTGCAGGGTTAAGTACGCTGCTTTTGTTTATCAGCAAAGATCAACGTTCGATTTGTTTTCAAGTTAAGAGTTACACAATCTCGGTGATTTTTGTTAATAGTCTAGCCTTTATATGCAAAACATGTAGCATGCTAAAAAAAACTCGACCAATCCTCTTCTTGTAAAAGAAACTGCGTCCATAAACACACAAATTTGTTATCCACCACAATCGTATGTTCTTGATGGTTATCAAACAGCTACCTCACCAATTAATGTCAAATAGCTCGCGATGCATCGATGGGTATTTTTAACCTCTTCGAGTTTTTTAGTCGCTGGTGGCCTCCGAAAAATGTCTTCCATATTGAGCCTTCGAGAAGAATTGTTGCGATAATCAGCGTGTTCCTTACCTTTTCGGCTTATCTTATCATGCAGCTGAAAAAAGGAGATAGGTTATCACATGCGCATCCGCGATTTTCTTTGTTGGTTTTCTTGTCATTTCATTGTGGAGTAGGCCTTATTAAGCAGCTTTATTGTACCGAAGCCCAATTGTTTTTTTTTCATCTATTACCTCTATAACGTCGTAAACTGAAGAACTTCAAAAACCGACACCATGACGGGCCTCATTTTCCATTTGGGATCCCTCATGTACAACATTAGAATAATTTGCAGTGGTGTAATTCAGGGTTCCCTTATATGCGGAAGAACTATATTACCTCAATAAAATTTCAATTCCGAAACTTGCAGATGCGTTCACTTATCTTGCTTGCTCTGTTAGCGGTCTCCTGCGCAGCTCTCGTTATACCAGCGAGATTCAACGTTGCTGAATGTGTAATGTGCAAGGTAGCGGTTAGAGTTGCTGCTCCAAGCCTAGGCAAGGATACACTCAAAATCGAACAGGTAATGAGAATCTGCTTATGATTGGCACAATGAGTGGATTGACGGTCATTTGTTGCAGGATTTCGACAAGGAATGCAAGAAGGAATTGAAGGTCCCAGAAGAGAGCAAGCTGTGTGAAAAGTACATAAATGACCACCTCGATCCCATCGTGCATGAGCTGGAATCCGGAACTGCACCTAAGGACGTGTGCACCAAACTGCACGATTGCTAATCCCTACCAACAGTGTTAGTGTAGCTGCTCTCTACTTATTTGAATATGCCAAATAAAGTGTACAACTATATTTAAGAATCAATGCAAAGTTTAACAGAATTTTTTTAAACTTAATCTTTCTCTCCTTCATATTACGGTAGCCGGCACATTCGGTTGTGATTATTGCCAAGATGAGGCTGAATTCATGCATATTATCACATAATTTCTAGTTTACCCGATGTTTGGTTCCAAAGAAAGGAAGAATGGTGAAGCTAAGATTCAGAATTATGGGATGAAAAAGTTCATCCTCCACTACACACATATCTCAAGCCTCTTCCACAATAATGATAACAAATTTCGCTACCTCCTCCAGTCATATGCGTATAAATTTATGGCAAGAAGACATGGAGACAACCCGCCAAGTTCGTTTTTCTCAAACAAGTAATGTCAATGTTATTAAATCATTGACTTCATGTAGGCAATGCCGGTGAGAAGTGGCAATGCCGGTGAGAAGTGGCAATGCGCACAGTCATTTATGAAGTGCTTGCTAGAACAGCCAAGTTTGCTCACAGCTAGCAAAACGGAAGAAAAAGAATTCAAAGAGCGTAGAAAAGCAATGAGTCATAGCCGCGCGATACATTCAAACGTCTCATTCATCGATCGCTGTTGCCATAGCATTAACTTATCGTTACTTAATCTGTTTGAAGCACTCAAGTTATTCTTTTTTTTCAATACAATTATATTCTTCGCGATACTAATGTGCCCAAAATAATCAACTTCACAACAAATCTCACTCCATCTTTGCGCTACCATTTGTAAGAGAATTCAAACTAAATAATTTTTGTGATGGCTTGGACCTCTGTATCAAGGAGAGAAAAGCAGAAAAAGTGTCAGCAACTCCGTGTGTAAAAGGGAATACGTATAGGATAACGGAGAATAAGATAAATGTGCTTGCATATGTATGCAGCCGGTGAAGAACTACTTTCAGGAATATAACTCATGTACCCTCAAGCAATCCACTCCGCTCAATTAACAACGATTTTTCGCAAACTTGAATGCCATAAATATTTGAAAATTTGGGCAGAATTTAGGAGCTGCCAAGAGCAACACCATGTTATCGTTGACAAACCTGCGATCATCCGACCGATTTGTGAATTTCCGATAAAAGGGACTTTATCGCAAGGATCTGAAGGGTTTACAGATATAACAATTTGTAACTTCTCCTTTGAAAATGGAATGCGCAGATGTTTATAACAAGTGCAATTTCTTCATATTAATCCAATTAGCAGTAAACTGTCATAGCAACTGTGTTTGATGATATAATCCCATGCCTACAAGCAGTTGGAAATGTAATGCTAAATGTATACAGCGTCACAACGCATTTGAAAAATAGTCCGGAGGAAGAAAGAAAGGAAGGGAAAGTTCAACTCACGATGGACAAGCCGATGGAGAAGTATTCATCGCGCAGGCAAGGACCTGTTCGAGAGTTCAACGCAAGAAATGACGCTAGACGCGAAGAAGCTTACTAGGAGAAGAGTACTTTTGAAGGAAAAGAGGTACCAAGACGAAGAAATTGAACGAACTGAGAAAAATTTGTTTGAAGAGGAATTCAATTACATGGAAAAAGCGTCCATCGATGACGATGCGTCATGCGAACAGGAAGAGGGATACGTACTAAGAAAAGATATAGACCAAGTTGTTCAAGCGGAGCTCGATCTCAAGCAAATTATGGAAGATACGCAACACGTGCACATGAAAGCTTTTCGTATTATTTGCGCAGTAATAGGCGAACATTCAGTGTTCTTTTGTAAGCGAGTTGACATTATTCGTCCTGTCAAACGGGCGCGGACGTAGCAACAGACCAAGATGTGTGCAGGCCGAACGTCTATGTATGATTGGTCTCACCACGGAATGCACTGTAGACGTCCATCGGATACACGCAGTGAAATGCTACCATTGTCGCAGGTTGGGACATAACTTACTATTTGTTTGCTATAACAAAGCGAACAAGGTGTCCAATAGCTGCGAATAACACAGAAGGAACGGGAAGAAATCGACGAAGAAGATACAACATTTATGCATATCATATCATGAATCTGTACGCTTCTACCCAACGTACCAACGACGAGAATATCACAGAGCAAACAAAGTTTTACAGCAAGATTGTAAGAGCTAAAAGAGATCGCGGTCATGAGAAAAAGTTAGGAGCTTGCTAGGTACCGATCATAGGATCTAAAAAACTTCAAAAGCGCGTTTTCCTGCTTTTTCTGCTTCAGAATGATAGCGGCTTGGCGGAGTGCATCATCTGCGCCTCATCTACATGGCTTCATCTGCCTGGCCCGGATCACCTAGTCGTCTGCACATTGGCTGCAGAGAGCTTACACTCACTCGCTTCGGCTATCATTTCTTACTTCCTTCGGTACTTTTCCGTTATCCGGACCCATTTTTTCACAAAGGGATATTGCTTTTTCCTTGTATAAACCCCTTGACTACGATGTGGACCACCGGTGGCCCACAGCCCTTGCAAAGTCATATGCTTTCCAGGTCTGGTATTTTTCCCATAATTCAGTATTTCTTCTAATTTTTGCACTTTTGGAACCTGTGGACTTCGTCGTCCATGAAGATGATTGTAGTTGTTCACAAAACAACTTTACATCTTGCGAATAATTACAAAACTTTCCCACGCCGAAAGTGTTGTGTTATATCGCGTCGTCCCACAGCGCCGCCAGGCAAAATTAGACGTCGTTGTTAATGGCTAAATTCAGTCGTTACTTTACAGGAAGATGTGCCAACCTCCTGCCACGTTTCAAAAAAAGTGACGTCATTTAAACGTTTAACAGGTTCTACCAAGAGTTTGTATAGCCTACCTATTAATGTAGACAACTTCGATCTGTACTTCAATCAATAATGACCTGACTTTTTCCAGAAGTAAAAAATGAAAATTAGCTTATAAGGGTATCATACTGTGTTCAGTAAACAAATTAGATTTGTCTAAAACAGAAGAGTGGGCTATTATTCCATTATCAAAGTGACGATGTGCCGCAGCCGGTGTTTTAGGCCGGCCATCCTCTATAACCTTTCTTACCTAAGTTCGCCAAAAACATTTTAAGAAGGAAGATACTTTCAAATCATTGATGAATTCGTCCAAAATGTTTCAATAAACATTTTTGTTTCGCTTTTATAAGAAAACCCAGACAGCCTTTAAGTCATCTCAAATGCTCTACTCAAAGTCGGCCGACCAACGAAGGCAATGTGATTTTAAACGAGTTCCTCGCAAAGGGTTGGGCCAGACTGCGCCGGAAAAGCGGCCAAGCGTACGCCGCTTTTCCAGCGAAGTCTGGTCCAATTTGAACGCAGCCGGAGCGCGCTGGCAGGCCGCCTCGCGGGCAGCATTTGGCATGGGCGTCCAAAACGGCGGCACGGTTGCAGTCGGCTTCTAAGGATATACGATAGGCGGCGATGCTAGCCTGCATTCTATTCCATTTCCCTATTAGTCATCACAAAACAGTGTTGCTGTCGTTCACTGTTGCTGTCGGCTTAAATACAAATCAAAAGTAGGAAAGTTAGTGCATTTCGCATCTATTCACTATTCACCACGGGCAGGTATGATTTTTTTTTGGAATTTGACTGTGTAGTTCATGCTTTCCTAGAGCGGTTTCGCAACCTTCTCGAGGTGGCTATCGTCCTACGCGTGTTTTTGTGTGTCCTGTACCGCGAATTGACACATTTGCTTGCGAAGTGTGAGGGACCCGTCATACTTCGCCGAAAAAAGCCCAAAGAAGCCCGAAAAAGCCCGAAAAAGCCCAAAAAAGCCCAAAAGCGCCAGAAAGAGCCGGAACACTTCTCGCACGTTTTCGCGCTAAGGCATGTGTGTTGACTTCGCAACCGAGCCTTTTTGTCATTTTCTGTCCTCCGCATGATAAGATAATGTCAGAATTCTACCAAAAGTTCGTTTCTACATTCCGGCTCTTTCTGGCGCTTTCGGGCTTTTTTGGGCTTTTTTGGGCTTTTTCGGGCTTCTTTGGGCGCTTTTGGGCTTTTTTGGGCTTTTTCGAGCTTTCCTGGGCTTTTTTGGGCGCTTTTGGGCTTTTTTCGGCGAAGTATGACGGGTCCCTGAATGGTTTTATCCCCTTGTTCGTTTTTCTTGCAAGCTTAGCATTTAGGCTTTGGAAATATGTGCAGGTTTACTTTTTTAGACAAGTAATGAGATTCTTGTGCGGCATCCGTTGTGAGCCTCTCGCTTGTTCTAGCTGCGCGTCCTTGGCTTCCCTTCTTCTGAGAGAGCGAATAATCCTCCGATAGTGTGGATAATATGAGTTGTTTTTTCTTCTCTCGTAAAGCATGTTTGCAAGCGAGAACCTGTCATTAATGATTTTAGGTACCATCGAGGACTTTTGGTATCTACATTATTACATAAATACCAAGCTCAAATTTTTTTATTTACGTCTACTTTGTTCATTGATTATTCGTGTTGTTGTGATTATTCGTGGCAGTGTCCATGCAAGTATGATTGCTGTCGGGCGCGTTTGAGTTTGTGAATCCAAAATAAGTGAGCGTAAAGAATGACAGGTCCTGTTACTCCTGGCTAACCATGTTACCTGGGAGAGGTCATTCTAAATCTGAGATGGATTCATTATCATGGTAATCGCTATCGTCGGAAGAGGAGTCTGACGTATCCGAACATTGCCTATCTTCAGCTTTTGCTCGATATTATAATAGGGTTTTTCCTTCCATGCTTTTTCGTGCACAGTTATGACTTGCTAACGAAATCTGCGAGTCCCAGAGTTCAAGTCTTTGTTTGTTTTGTTTTTTCCTCTCAACGAGGATTCTTATCAGGGTGGTACTCTTCTTAAGATCTTTTGTTTCGTGCGCCAGGCACTTTCCCAATGCTTTCACTTTCCGCTCAATTTCGTAGAACTCATTTTTTTGATTTCTTTCATTTAGAGCTATCGCAGAAAAAGTTTGTTCCACACTACACTTGATGCTGTAGAACAACCATATTTAGACTTTCCCTGCTGATAAGATGATAGTTTCAATCTGGTAAAAGCAATAAAGCATTTGAAGCTTGCTTACCATGCTTCTGATTCAATATCCTTACTTCGCGTATTCTCAAGTCAGCAGCAATTTTTTCTCTCGCAGCCATAGTAGCGCTCCACTTTTGACCTTGAATTACCTCATTATTTGGGAGTAGAGGTCACTTTATCTTTTTTATACCATCTTAAGAGAGTCGCCGGACTTTCCCAATTTGTTAAGGTTTCCCCTTCATTTGGCTCCACATTTCAATCGGATTGAAGAAACAATGAAAAGGCGGAGCTCTAACACTGTTGCTCCAAGCTCGCCGCAGATCTTCTCGGCGACATATCTGCGTAACGCAGACCTGCCGCCTTGGCCGACGAAGAATTGCTTGAGCTGAACCATAAGGAGTTGTATTGATTTTTTCGCATAGGTGATGGTGCTACTTTTATTAGAAGATCCTCTTTTCTAGCCAGGTATGGTATTGCTACGCCGTGTGTGCTAAGATAATCCTGAATCGTTGCTTTCGAGGAGGACTTTGTTGGCAACTAAAACTAAGGCCCGTAGTAAAGTTAATTCAGTTCAGGTGAACTGGACTGAGGCCCTCATCCAAGATTCAGTAGGGTAAACTGCCTATCACCAGCTCTCCACGTTATAAGAATGCAAAATGAGATTTCAGCTGATCGTCCGTCTACCTGACGAGGTAGTCTACCTTACTTCAGTCAGTTCGCATTCAGTTAGACTACCAACTGTTGTAAATAGTGTGCCGATGATGATATGCAGAGAGACTTCTCGTAAGCTGCTAAAGAGTAACTTACGATACACGTCAGTTTAACATGTCGGTGAGGAGCCACAGTGATGCTGATGCTGACGAGACTTAACAAGATCTAACAAGTGCGGCCACATCCCCGCCGCTAGTGCCAATGACGTAGATGTGAATGTTTGGCAAAGTCTTGACTTGTATACTTGCATGGACGTGGCGCTCTCAGTCTTATCATCGTGGGTGGTTGGCAATATTAATCAATGGCTCGACTGAAGGTAAGCTGACTCGTCGAAGCCTCAACTGAAATTGTATTCAGCTGAGATCGAATGATGCAGCTTTACTACAGGCCAAGTCTTTATCTTATTTTGTGAGAGCTATGCGTGGGAGTTCAACCTTTTCCAATTGGAGGGTATGATAACTGGCATTGTCCATAACCACCGTTACAGGACGATTATCAGCAAATCTTTGCATGCAGGGGACTGTTTCTCTTAAGCAGTCTTCGAACACTTTATGGTTCATGTCCTGATGATAATCGCCCACTGAATCCCTTCCGCTGACGATTATCTTGCTACAACTGGGAACGATTCCCTCCTGTGTCAGGGTGCTGATGACAATGGCCCTATTGCCTTTGTTTTCGTAGTCGTCTTTCCACACGAATATCGCTGTAGGGTCGATTCTGGGGCAAATCGAGGAATTGTGGCATCAGTCCACCTTCTCTTCCTCGACATACAGTCAAATATCCATGTCTCATCGATGAAGACGAGATAATGGTTACGGTCCCTGGCGTTTCAATCGCTCTAAGGTAAGCGGCTCTCTTCATTACCAAATCGAGACGTTCGAATTGTAACGTTGCCCGTCATGCAACCTATAGAAAAGACGAAACCTTTTGAAAGATGATATTTGTGTTCGACACGCCGAGGTCATCGTTGGTTTCTTCTAATTCCTGCCATCTCCGTCACGTTACCTTTGAACTTAATATGCATAAAAAAAGCGAACCTTCTTTTCTTCTTTGCTTTGGAGTCCTGTGGACGGGATGAGTAGTACGAGGAATTGGGTTTTGCACGAGTTCTTATGTTGCTTTGATGGGTGCACTGTGCGAGCTCCAATTCCACAGGCTATGGCAGTTAACTCGGCAGTATACACGAATATTGTTCCTCTGCCTTCTTTCCTTAGTTGATGTTTGAGCCGTGGTAAAGCGGGGGGTGTAGCACACTACCGTCGGATACCACCCTCCCACCTTGGGCCGAACCCCGGCACGACCCCCCACCCCCATTCTCCCCCCTCCCCCCTCCTTTCATCCTGCCCCTAGCATTTGCGCTAGAAACAATAGAAAAACAGGCTTTACTCCAAAAAAGAAACAAAGGAAAATCAAAACATGAAAACGGATAAAACAACCTAAGTGTTCAGCTAAATGATGGAAAGGCTACAAAAATTATGCTGTAGAGAAACCAAAAAAATGCTTCTCAAGTGTTCATTTAGATGAAGACATGGTTACAAAAATTGAGCTATAGGAGATCAACAAAAGCATCTCAATTTCTGACTGAGGAAAAAGTTCCGAAAATCAAGATAAGATCATATACAGTCTTGAAGGCTCTGAGTAGTAGAAATTGAAAAAATTATCCCATTTAGAGATTCTCTGCATTAGCCGCTGCTGTCCCTTAGCATGGCCTGCTGTGGGTCGCCTAGACGTCCTCCGGGTTGGGCCAGACTGCGCGGCGTACGCGACGTACGCCGCGTACGCCGCTTCCCCGCGAAGTCTGGCTCAACCCTCCGAAGCAGCAAGTGCCCATCGTGTCACTTTCCTGGCAGAATAGTTTGTATTTGCACCACAGATACAAAATAAGACATCCCTAAAAAATATTACTGTAACTTTTTTACTGTGAGATGAAGACTTTTTGAACCTACCAGTATGATTTGGGCGATCAGTGCGGTAAGTGCGTAAAGGAAGCACGCATAAATATGAACATTTTGGATTCTTCGTGATATATTTGTTGTTGTCAACGACCATTTCTGAACAGGGAAAAAAACGAAAAAATATGACCGAAAACTCACTTTGTAGAGCTAGCGACTCGACAGCGTACACAATGAGTGTTAGTAGAATCAAATCTCGAAAACTTATATTTTAGGTGAAGTGCACCAATAACGCAGCGGTAATAGACGAGCGCGACAGTTCAAAAACCCATGCTTAATAGATTAGGCAATGTTGTAATTTGATTTGTGATCATTTCCGAAAGACTGCGGCGGAGTGGAGCCACAAACACTTTAACATAAAAATAACAAATCAGTAAGTTTATATATGTTCGTATGCCTGCGGCTCCACTCCGCTGCACTCTGAGATCCGGAAATGAACGGAAATCAAATTATAAGCAGAAAAGGAGATTGAAAGGACTGAAAAGGACCATATCAGGTAGGGTTCAAAATGAATGTATGACAATGCACAAGATTGCTAAATTTGTGGTCCATCAACATGCAAGTAATGAGTGAAGAGGGGGCAGACTCGCTGTGCACGTGAATAAAAGTAAAAGATGAAAGCGTATTCATAAGCGCAACTACAATACTGAGACATTAGAGATCAACACTATATTTATATGCAAATTTTAAAGGCTCATTTTTTATACTGTTCAGCAAGTGACATCAAGCGAGATGCATCAATGGCATTGCAAGTGTCGTCCCATTAGTTCACCATTGCGAAATAGATGCAATGCGCAACATACACGACCACATGCATGCAGCTATGTACCTGAAATCAACAAAACAATTTCTTGCCTCAGGGCACAGCCATAGGTTGCCGGCAAATGTGTCCGAGGTTGCCAACGTTACGGGTCTTTGTAGGATGTCATGATATCTACGTTTTCTTGGCTTTCTCGCTGTCTCTTGATCCGGCAACGTCAACTTCGGCAACTTCGGCAAGATTGGGCAATTTTGCCACAACCTATGGCCGCTCCTATCCTTCACTAGTGTCATGAGGATCTAGCTGATTCTCATGAGACTAGTAAAGCATATAATACATATGTGCATAAAACCGGAGGGTAGGTTCGCGGAGCGGCGCAAAGCTCAGCTGAGGCGGTCGCGAGCGTCCGAGTCGCTTTAGCTGCGACACTCACACTGGAACAACCTAAACACAATGTCTAACAAAGAAAAGCAAAACTGATGAGAAGAAGAAATATAAGTAAACTAAAGAGCTTCCACAAGGCAACCTCGACTGCTTTGAACTCACTTCATCACCGGTTTTAGCAATCAGTACCTCCTCATGTTTCTTCTTGATCGATGCTATCGCTCCCAAAAACATTCCCTGGATTTTACAAGACTCATATAATCAAAAACTGCGTTTGCACAAGTGTTTTGCTCACATCCTTGCACGCAAAGAGGAGTGCCGCGTTTCAGCTGCCCTGCTTCAACAACAACTCCACAAATTATTGGATTCCTGGTTGAACACATGCTGAGGAAGAATACGAAGCTTACATTGGAAGACAGCCAGGTGTTCGTTCTCTCTTCGCACTTTCGACCGCAGCTCCTCCCTAATTTATTTAGAGTCAGTATTTGAGAAGATAGTCGGAACTAGAAAGGTTACCTGTATCTGAGGAAATTATTTTCCAAATGATAGATAATGTCTGCTTGGAATATTTTAACCTTTTCCTTTTCCGTAAAAAGTTGCGCGTCTCGCTCCACTCTGACGTCAAACGCCAGGATGCCTGCGAATCTAGAAGATGAAACTCAGAACATTTTGGAAGCACTATGCTGACATATCACATATCATTACCTTGAACTGCTAGTGTCACTTGGCATCGTTTCCTCATACCTTTTATCAGAAAGAAAAAAATGAACTTACTCTGGCTTATGCTCCGACATATGCTGCTTTCTGGACGTCTTCTTATGGACTGGGCCAATGTTAACATCCGAATGCTAGAAAAGGTAGGATCCAGATGGAGCTAAGAAAAAAGAAGAAAAAGAAGATATTCTTTTCGTACATACTCACCGGGATTTTTGCGTCTTTAAAAACTCTAATAATGCGTCTAAAGATGTTAAAAAATCACAAAAAAATGGTAAAAGTCGCTCACCTTATTAAGAGCAGCCACAAGTGGAGTCATTCTCTTAAGCAATAGTTTCAAAGATTCTATAGTTTGCGGTTCGAAACCGTGCATAATGTTTACAACTAGAACTGCAGAATCACAGAGCGATGAGCCGCGGGAACGAAGGTTTCTGAAATATATACATGAATACAAATAAATTCAAATAGACTAGACAAACATCTCAACCACGTAAGCGGAGATAACCTACGCAAAGCTTGCGTGACCAGGTGTGTCGATTATAGGAAAGCCGGGATTCAACGAATCTAGTGCTAATTCCGCACCTGTTTACAACGTTCTTTGATTGCCTCGGCAGGAACCTGAAGGTAAAAATATGCTGTTCATTTCTATTCGTTGACTTCACCAAGGGTAGCACCAATTTGCTGCGTATTACTGCCAGACTCTCCATCCTGCACGTTTGTTCGACAGAATTACACAAAATTTGGGCACTTTGTTGAACCGAAAAAAGAGAAACTATACATTTAAGCTCACCGTGTTCAGCATCTTTGTTTTACCCGTGTCTGCATGTCCAAGAACGCAAATAGACTAGAGCTCGAAGGACATCCGCAAATCTCTTGGCTTCTGCTGCACGTCTTTTTTGGAAACAGTCCTGTTCATGAAGGCTAAGAAAGGCGAAAGGGGAATGAAGACATCAAGAAACTAACACGGATAGGAAACTATGTGGCGGTGGCTTTATGTTGTGACATATAATACTAATTGCGTCATAAAACACCCTATTCAACACCTAAACTCAGCATCTGCTGCGTGAAATACAAGGTTGACGACTTTTTATGTCTTAACTGATGAGTTAAAGGTCAGACAGAATCAACACTCTACGTTTTTAGACTTGGATACGTAATTTTGAGACTTCAACAAAGCTTAAGTTGGTGGTGGTGAAGAATGGTGCGGAAGAATGGAATGAAGAATGCGGATTTCAAAGCCTCTTGGCTCGCGCCTTGGTGTGTTCGCAATTGATTGTTGATTGTTGATTGTTGATTGTTGTTGATTGATTGTTGATGTTGTCAACTGATTGTTCAAACTTCGCAATTGTTCGCAATCGCATGATTCGCTTCTATAATACTATACTTGCGTCAGTGCAAAGGTTCTCAAAGTGGGAATCAAACTTCAGAGATCATTCAGATAATCTGTCGTTTTATCGAACGCTGCTATAGTACAGTAAGGATCTCATGTTCCGGATGAGGTTCAGCAGGTACTACATTTACCGTCCTTTTTTACTACTGCACAAGCTTCTTTTAGGCCATAAATGCGTTCTCATCCTCCCAGCGAGCAACGCCGACTCCGAGGCTTGCTGGGAGTTTCTTTGCTCTAACAGGCTCTCTAGAGAGGAAAGGAGTAACATAAAGACGGAGTTTCTAGACAACATCATGATGTAAGCCCTCTTGGTGTAAGTATGGTTCAACATCATTGCATGTTTGAGGCTGCAGTGTAATGGGCTTAGCATCTAGCCTAACTTCAACAGCCTAACTTCAACAGTTAGCACTCCAGTGAATGCATCCTGTACCGGGACCTGGGCTAGATCCGGGAATGCCATCAAACTAGCTAGAGAAAGCCCTCGTAAAAGCCGTAAAAGAAAACCTTGCAAAAGGTTGGATTCATTTTAAATATTAGAGTCCAAAGCATTCTATACATCTAGGAGATGCATATGAGTTGGCCAAACTCTTAAGGCGTCACATGGTGGTTCGCGGTCTAAACGCACAAAAGGGAAGACGAAATAAAGAACCGGCTGTTGCAAGAAAAACTCTCAGTCGGATCTTCTAAGAAAACAGATTGAACATCTTCACATCTGTACGACAATTCACTTTATAAATCACTATTCATTTTTTAACACTAGCGACCGACAAATGTGTTTTTAAAAGTACATTCTGCACTGAAACCACATAAATAATAAGCGTATGTTTCTCTTTTTGGACACAAGTCATTCAAGCGTATCGTGAATTTGTATTGACGAAATATCACTTTGCCTCACATCACTAGTCGGTCGTCACATCGTCATCCATCCACTGCAAAAGCTGCTTTTCAAGAAACTGCATTGAAAAAACAACTACCTCAACCAAGAGTCCATTTCGTATTTCTCTCAATTACATTGGCTGAGTTGTCAGAGGTAGTTGGAAAAGAGCGTGGTACATCAAAAAATTTTGATGCAGTGCTTTTCACCTTAGAAACCACTTTTGACCTTAGTCGATACGACCCCCCCCCCCCCTCACCTACCCCTCTCCTCTTACGACTCTCCGGTGTGGCGTGCCAATTCTCCGCTTTCCCCTGAACACAACCATCTTGACCCGCATAGCTTTCATCACTTACAAAAGGCAAAATCAGAGCCCGCCGCCTTATACACCCCGGGGAGGGGTCAAGGCGCGGCGGCAGACTCTGATTGCTACTTGCCATCAGGACTTGCGCAGCAGGACCTTTCCTGGTCGTCGGACTTAGATGCAGTCTCCGGTCAAAAAGTCGATTTTGACATTTCGTGCTTATTCGGGCGTTCGCTATGTTGGATCCTAAAATCCACATTGGAGAGCCCCAAAATAGTGAAAAAGGGCTTTAACAGGGAGGGGATTCAGCAGATGGGCGGAGTCCTTCCCACTGTGAACTCCCGCTCACAGCTTTCGGAGCCATCTTCGGTTCCGATTTCAAGTCAAGCGTTCGAGTTTGGCCGGTGGAGATGTTAGGGCGGCTAGCGAAATTGAGAAGATCGCTTCGGAAGCTGGGAAGCGCGAATTCACAATGGGGAAAACCCGCTCATTTGCGATTTTCCTCCCGCACTGGAGCCATTTTTCGCCGTTTTCGCGCTCTCCAATGTGAATTTTCGGATTCAGCATAGCGAATAGGCCCGGGTAAGCACAAAATCGACTTTTTGCCCGGACACTGCCTTTATAGGTAGGGGTTGTTTTGATGAAAGTTGCTATTCAAAGCTTTTTTGTTGTGTTAAGTTGGACAAAGTTGAGTTAAGTCTGATTCATTTGTGTTGACTTTCTCCAATAACTGTGCGATTTTGAGCTGGCTGCCTACTACCACATGAAATGAGGAAAAGGCTTGTACTGTTGTAAGAACTTCAAGATATTTAACTCTGTAAGTTTTTAGCATATTTTCGTTGATTTTTTTTCTGCAATAAAATTCTCAAACAAAAATACGATGAAGTCGCTGATGTGCAATCGATGAGTTGTGTGTTGTACACTATTTTAACACAAAAACCATCCAGCTTCCAAAGGTAGTTACACCAACCATAACTTTGGGAAGTAGAAGACTAGAAACTTTGACACTACAGTTGCAGCGGTAGAATTTGTCCAAAATTGCGGGATTGTCGGGATTCGCGGGATTCGCGGGATTCGCGACCTCGCGGGATTTGCGGGATTTGCGGGATTTGCGGGATTTGCGGGATAAGCGGGATTTAGCTACAACTTCTTTTAAAACAGCTTTATTTGTAATCTGCATGAAGATTTGGCTTCAGCTTGATGAGACGAACTTCTGGTATACAATATGTCCGTAATTCATAGTGACACGGTAGACATATGGTGATACCTTGTTATTTTCTATGTTAAGGCTTTTGTGAACATCTATCACCGTGTAAATCGTGAATAGGAGGTTCTGGTACGAAGTTCCCATTACCTAAAAATATCGGGAAAAAATGGGCAGTTTTTATTTACCCTTATCACTGATATAAGCATTTCATCATTTATCACTGATTATATCATATTTTTGGATCACTTTTGGCACATGGTAAGAAAAGTAGTGTAGGAAACGCTGTGTGAATTTCTATCGCTCTTTCTCTCATTATAAGTGATCTACAGGATTTCTTAGTTCTATTGTTCGGTCAATTGGTAGATCCCTCGCTGCAGCAATCGATCGATTTCTCATCGGCACATGCCATTGCTGCCAGTTCTTATCTGAAATGGCATTTTCGCTTCAACTCGCTTCACGCCGAAGCCTGGGCTGAAATTCTGCACCTATACGGAAGATGAACGTGGGAATCGACCGCGTGAATTTAAGCCATTCTTTTCTGTCATTATCATTTAATATCACCATTTTATCATTTATCACTGATGATATAACAAAATTGGATCATTTTTGACATACAGTAAGGAATGTACTTTAGGAAACGCTGTGCGCGTTTTTACCGCTCTATCTCTTATAGAATGTGATCTACAGGCTTTTTCGGTTCAATTGCGCATTCGGTGCAATAGATAGATGCTCTTTCAAAAAAATTCACCGCTCTATAAATTGTGAATGAACGGAGTCGCCTGTCAACAGGAGTTTCAAAAATGAGCTGAACACTTCTGTTTTCTGCGTATGATATACAAATCCAGATCCACAAAGGTGATCGATCTAAGGTGCGAAACTACGCAAACGCGTGCTCGAGCATCTTTCCATCAGAGTCCACACGCCCGCGAACGATGCGCGTACATAGGCTGTTGCCTCCCTATCGAAGTCTTTTTGAATTCTTTCATGCTCTACTCTATTTCTTGCTATCTACAACAGCTCACAAAAATGCAGATTTTCTTTGTATGTCGTGAAATTCCGGGGGTTTTGCGAAAGTCCGCAACGTTCTGGTAGTTTCGCGCATTCCGGGATTTCCGCGGAATCACGCGAATCACGCAAACTACACAACGCCATAACTCCATTCAGAATGAATAAATTCTGAGTCCGATTCCGTTTCCAGTTTTCTCAAATTCTTCTGCGGAGGTCTGTTTGCGAGGATGTAACGCAGCGCCTATCTAACATAAAGTAAACTGATAAGTAATATTCGATAGTACGGTTCTTGTAAATTATAGCGCACTAAAGTATAGCTGCGGATTTCTTTAAAGAAGAAACATAAGCGTTGGTGAATTCTGGAAAAATCACGCGTTTTTAAGTTCTATTTGTCATAACTTCCTTCGGAATGAATGTATTCTGAATCCGAAAAAACATCGTGCTTAGCTCGTCAAGGCGAACCTTTCGATATGCAGCATCCCTTGATATTCCTATTTCAGTATTCGTGAATCTTTCTGCGACGTCACTTTGCAAAGATGTAAAGTAGCGCGCATTGCCCCTACTAGACTATTGTAAAGGCGATCCGGTAGTACCTCCCTTGCAGATTAATGATCGCTAAATAGTCTCCGCAAACTTCTTTCGAAGGGAGATAGAAGGACTGGTGAATTGGGGAAAAATCTTGTCGCAGAAATTTCTACTTGCCACAGCCCTAGAGTACGAAGCTATCTTGCTAAGCAGATGTGAATTTCGAAATCAGCAGGCCAGATAACCTCTATGAGCAAGTTTCCCGGGATGTTCGGGTTATTTCATTTTTTCTCGTTTTACGCTCTGGAAGCTCGCCGATGGATATTGGTCAAAATGTTGATGCTCTTGAATTGTAAGGAAACTTCGCTTATAGAGGTTTTCGAACACGCTGTTTACGAA